GTTTCAGGTCATGTTGTGATATTTTATGTAACATAGTCTTTTTAACTGGTAGCATCATTGCGAATTTACACACAATCTAGAGGCAAAGTCAGTTGACTCCAAGGACAGTAATTTTGAAGTTTTAATAAACATTGTAATTTTCTGTGTCTACACCACAACTATAACAGTAGTGTCAAAGAGGAGCGATATCATTGGAATCACTTTCAGAACATTTTTTTCAGCTGATGAATGGTTAAAAACATTGACAGCCAATCAGAATCCACCTGACTTTAAAACTGTAGCACGTTATCGTCCGTTGGTGCGGTCGCTAATATAGTTATTGTTCTCGTTCTTGGTGTGAACGACATTAGCTGCGACTAGTTTACCATACCATAAACATACATTGGAGACACTGTGACACGTCAAAATATTGTAATTCATTATATTATAATTCGCGATTTAAAGCATGCCAAATGTATGAGAGCGACCCCACATGGTTGTGTGTGAATCTGCACCTCATAGACGCAGCTAAAAATTTTGCTTATGAATAGTTTTTAAAGATGTGAAAAAAAGTGGCAATGCATTGATAGAAGCATGCCTTTAACCGATTTTCTTTACTTTTATAAATTACAAATTTGATGATTATTAGATCAAGAAAATATAATTTTCCAATTCTTTCATGGGTTTTGGAGAAAGAACTGAAGGTTATATAATGTATATCCTGTGCTACATACTCTAACAGAGCTTTGAAATGTATCCTAAATGAAATAATATCATTGCTACACTAAGCTCTCATTAATTAAGGCTGCATGTGTGCTTTGTTTTGCAGGAGGCCGCCACGTTTGCACAAGAGCAAGGCTTTGAGGTGAGTGGATGGAGGATCACACCCTAAACAGATCCTAAAGGATTATTTTTCAGCTGATAATGAAGTTCTTTTTCGGACAGTGATTGATGTGCTATTATACTCTCTTGGCCCCCTTGCAGTGGTCGCCATAGCAACCTGGCAGTCGTCATGGTTTCTTTGTTCAGCCAGCACTCCGGCTCACACACACTCTCTCTTTCTCACACACACACACACTTACACTCACACACACAAACACATTTTCTCCCCTACTCTTACACATTCTCTTCTCCTCTCTCTCTTTCTCTCTCGCTCTCGTCCCCCTCCTTTTCTGTTATGACGCATTCCTCCCAGGTCTGCACCCAACATCGCCTACAGATGTTATTTATTGAATTTTGAGAATGCTCTTGGGAAAAGAAAAAGAAATCCTCAGGGGCTGCTTTCAATTCTGTCTGTGTAATGGGCAGGGCTGGCAGG